ATTGTTAGTCTCTAAGGTGCCACAAGTACTCCTGTTCTTCATTTTATTTTTGTCCATTTTTGATACGTGCTGATTGGTTTGGTTTGGTTTCGCAAAACAACCTTCTTTTGTTTGAGAAATTCAGCCGTTCTCACGCTGACACTTTGCCCCAGAAAAGGAAATGCGCGCGTGACCATGTTGAACCGTTCAGCCAGAGTCGCTCTCAATGAGGAGAAAGGAGGTTTTGCAGGGAGCTCTCCTGCATCACACAACTGCCCCCTGCCCAACCAGGCTAATGAAATGGAGGGGTGATGGAAATGGGTGTGGCTGCATCTCCTGCAGCCTAGGGAAGCATGGAGAATCAGCCCCAGGGTTAGAGCACTTGCCTAGGGCTTGAGAGCTGGGTTCAAGTCCCTTCTCTGCCACCGACTTTTTGTGTGGCCTTAGGCAACTCACTTAGTCTCTCAGTGCCTCAGTTCCCCATCTGTAAATGGAGATAACAGTACAGCCCTTAAGTGCTCAGATACTACTAGAGTGATGGGAGCCAGATGAGTATCTTAAGTATAGCCAGAGGCCTGTGCTCCTCCCTGGGGGGCCGAGGGGGAGCATATTGCTCTAGTTGCAGGCAAAGCCAAGGTGGGTGCCTGCAGCCACTGTGAAGGGAGCTTGGAGGTCAGCGAGGGGTAGGAATGAGGGTGGGAACTTGGGAAAGTCACTTAGCCCTACTAGACTCCAGCTGATATTGCCATCATATCTACTTCACAGTGAGGATCCATAATGTGCTTAAAATCCCCCCTGCTGAACTGTGTAATCTAGTGAAAGTGTGACAAGCTGCATGTAAGAGGTCTGCTGGATTCCAGGCCCAGCTGGACCTTCAAACAAAAAGCCAAAACGCATATTGTGTGGGAACATGAACCGTCCTCAGCTGGACAAAAGCAAGGAGAGCTGGAGGTAAGCCGGATTCTAGCTTAGCTCTGCTGTATTTAAATAATGCAGCCATTGACTGATTTTCTGCGCAACGACTGCCGGGGACACCCCAGAGGGAGTTAATGCATGTGAGCCAATTTCATCCCAGCAGGGGTGACTGTGACCCCGTGTTTCTGCCTTAGTTCTGAATACCCTGGCTTTCCTAGATGAGTCGATGCACTCTATTTCAGCTACTTTTATAGCTCCCTTGACCCTAATGTCTGCCTTACACGCTATTAAGTATGTTTCACACAACGGCCTGGGGGTTAGGAAA